TACACAGCTGGCAATGTGGGCCAGCAACTTCAACCCTGGGCACCACTGGACCATCATACCCTGTACTCTGTGGGAAGAAGACACTAGTTTCTCTTGCCCTGCCCATTCCACTATAAATGATGTGTCCAGGCAATGTGAGGCAGAGAAAAAAAAAGGGTGGGGGGGGGGAGGCTGGAGGAAAGATATGCACCTAATATTTAATCAACTTGGCTCAGAAACCTATGGGCAATACATTTTATAAAGCAGCCTGGAATTGGGTCTTAGAACACCCAACACCTCTAGGTTTATAAGCTCTGAACTCAGACCGTTTTGGATCATACACTGTCTTTTTCAGGCTATCTGAAACTCTATCATCATTGAGCGTCATATTTTGAATTCTTCCAGACATACTTCTGGAGTCCACTCCATACAGTTTTATTAACTTTACTTCAAACTACCTAAAAACTAGTTTTTTCCTGAAAACTTTACCTTGTCACATTAAATTCAAATAACCCTGAGATTCTAATCACTCATCAGATACACTTCAAACATTTCACTGTAATATTTATAATACAATCCCCAGACTAAATTCTCCTTGTTCCAAATACAGAAAAGCAATTCTATAAGCTGTGCTATAGGGCCTATACTGGCGACTAGGGCCCATTTGTCCCCAAATTAGAATAAATTTCTCCTCTGGACACAACGCAACACTACTTAGGTGATTTCACTCGAGCATTTCACAATTCATTTCTGGTGAGTATTGGTGGGAATGGAAAGTGATGGGGTACAGAGTCAACTTTTTCCACAAAACCTTCTGGGTACCCCCAAGAGACACTAAGAAGAGGCTAACTTTTCTCCCATAGCAAACATCAGTATTATAATTGCTACTACTTGAAAATTTCTATCATATTGTCCCCACCTAAAGCCCATTTTATTATGACCCCTTCTCCCCCCAAAACAGAAAAACCATTAACCCAAAATTGTCTTACCCTCTCTCTCTCTTCCTCCTGTTGTTTTATTCTTTCTCCTTTCCAGGGCTCCTGAACTTTCTGTAAACAAATTATCTTGGTTACAGGGGCCAGCGAGGGTGCAGCCACCAGAGAACTGTGGAGGACCTCAGGAATTCTTTGACTGTCAGTAGTTAGTGGGAGATGCAGGCAGAACCCCAACCAACAATCCAAAGGTGAAAGGAAATACTAACAGGAGTGCAGTGTCACCCCCTATATGGATACAAGGGAAATAAAGCCAATTCCTAAGAACTAAGATGAATTGTATCATCAGTGTTTGGGTCCCACTCCTGGGCTCAGACACTGGTTTTTCGTTCCCCAGGGCCACAGGTAATCAGGGGTCAGAGAATAGAAGAGTTGTAAGAAGAGAAGGGTCCCTGCGCCCTGATGATTGGCTTAAAAGGCAAAGCTCAGGACTGAGGGGATGCACAAGCCCTTGTGTCAGGCACAGTGCCAGTTCAGACCCAGCCACTTCCTCTGGTTCCCCCCACACACACTTCTGTGAGGACTTCGCCCTTGCCTATCCAAGGCCTTACGCCAAGAAGTATCTCCCTCAGCCTGCACAGTGATCTATCTATTGGAGACCCTAGCTGTCCCCCCAAAACCCTCGCTTCCCTGAGACAGCTCCTGGGAGCCTTCTCCTGATGTCGACACCCCCCACCCCTTCCTCAAAGACCCTTTGGGACGTCCCTCCTCCTTCTCCAGGGAGCTGAACTCTGCCACCCACCAGATAGACACCCGCCCCCTAAGCCCCCCCATTCCTCCCCATCGCCCGCTCCTCCACAACCACTTCCGGTTCCGGGACGGACACACATACAGTCACATCGAGGACCCCCCCTTTCTCGCCCCCCCGAGAAAAGGGGAGGGGGGAGGAGCGGAGAGCTTAGAGCGCGCCGGCTGCAGCCGTGTGAGACTCACCCGGCGGCGACGGCTGCGGCGGCGCCAGAGCGCGGGAGGGGCGGCGTTGGCTGAGAGAGGAGGGAGCCGAGTGGGGTGGGAGGACCGAGACGGGGTGAGGGGACGGGGAGCGCGCGGCGGACCGCGCGGGCACGCACTTTAGGCGCGAGACAGACCCACACACTCATACGCACGGAGTGCGCGCGAGACACCCGCGGGGCGGGGGCGCCAGGCAGTGGGTGGCCCCCTCCTGCCCGCCCTCCCCTAACACTCACCCGGAAGTGGTGCTGCCGCTCGTGCTCCCGAGAACCCCAATTCCTCCACGCCCCCTCCCTCCCTCCCCCCACTAGCTCCGAGTTAAGCCGCCGCGGAGAGAAGGCGGGAGCGCCGGAAACGAAAAGGGGGGGAGGGAGGGAAATAGTAATGTAGGGGGAGCGGCAATGGGGAAGAGGGGGAATGCAAAGGTCGAGTCACTTCCGGGAGTGGTAGCGCGCATCCGGCGCCGCTAGGGCTCCAGGTTAGTCAGGGCAGAAGTTACGCCAAGGAGGGGCGGAAGTGGCTTCTGCCCTTGGACGAGGTACAACACTTTGTGGATGTGACGCCACAACGGAAGTGAAGGCGGGTTCTGCTAAGGGCAAAGCTGAACCTTCGGAAGTGCGGCCGCGGGCTTCCGGAAGGGACTTCTGGGGAAGTGGGAGGGTGGCAACGCGACAGGTTCATGAATTATGTATCAAGGTATGAGCGGAGGTATGGATTCTTAAAGTCTACGGTCCCATTTCCCTTCCCTCAGGGGAAATAGGCAGTTACCGTTCTTTTTTATTATACTGTACTCTTAAGAATGTCTCAATGCTTTGAATGTGCGGGAAAGTGCTGGATGTATCAGAAGTGTTCTGAGATCCCTGCTTAAGCCTGAAGAGTAACTATTAACTTCTAGCCATCAAAATCTGATCCGTTCCTGACCACACCCCTTATTCTTTTTGCTTTGGTTGCTGTTTTTATAGCTATCACTGTCTCATCCTGCTTCACATTTAAACATGGCACTCATCCCTACCTGATATGTTGTTTGCCGTCCACCTCTTCCCACTAGAATATTGGCTCCATGAGGGCAAGGACTTTGAATTGTTTGCTGCTGTATCCTCAGAGCCTGGACTTAGTAAGTGGTTGGTAGATGTTTGTTGCATAAATTTACACAATATGAACTCTTTCAGGAAGCCTTCCCTGATTGCTCCAACCCTTAATGGCCCTATTCTTGGAATTCCCACAGCATTTTGCTGTACCTTTTCTTGCTGTTTTAACTGTTTCATATATTTGACTCCTCAATGAGGTCATCAGCTTCTTAGGGAAGAAGCTATCTCATACACAGTATCCTTCCCACCGCTTTGCTGAGCACATAGTAGATGCTAAATAACTATACAGTAATACCCCCTTATCACTTTCTGTGGTTTATGTTACCCCTGGTCAAACGTGGCCCGTAAATATTAAATGGAAAATTCCAGACATAAACAATTCATAAGTTTTAAATTATATTCCATTCTGCATAGCGTTCTGAAATTTAGAATCATCCCACGCTGCCTGGGATGTGACTCCTCCTTTTGTCCCCCATCTCTAAGATGTATACGCTCCCTATACATTGGTTACTTAGTAGCCATCTCAGTTATGAGATTAATTGTTGAGGTATCACAGTGCTTGTGTTCAAGTAACCCTTACTATTCTTAACAGTGGTGTCAAAGCACAAGAATAGTGATGCTGGCAATTCAAAAGCTGGAAAGTGCTTCCTTTAAGCAAAAAAGTATGTATGTACAGGAAAAAAAACATAGTATATGTAGGGTTCAGTACTACCTGAGGTTTCAGACAACCACTGGGGAGTCTTAGAACATATCCCCTGTGGGTAAGGGAGAGTATTTACTGTATGTTATTTGAGTAAATGAATGCTGCCACTGGCCTGCACCCTGATCTGGCCCAAATCCCTTTGGACTCAGCTGTTTTGACAGACACAGGATCAAAGTGCCTCCTATTAACAGTAACAACCACTTGCTTAGAGAGTGAAATAACCCTAATAGAAATAACTGTGATGCCCGTTTTACAGATAATGAAAAGAAGACTGAAGATCTAAGTGATTTTTCCCAAAGACACAGCAAGAAAGTAGCAAAGAACACCTAAAAATAAATGCTTAATTTAATTACTTAAATAGAAGATATGAATCTTTGGCTTATAATTGTATCTTTCTAACTTTTTTGTTCATATGTTTTATAAAGTACTCTTTTTATCACATTTTTGGGCTCTGCACGCAGTCTGTGTTAACCCAGTAGCAACAGTTGGCAGGATAAGGATCTTAAGGACTCAGATGTGACCAGACCTAGTTGCTGCATGACATGAGTTAGAGATAGATGATTCAAGAAACCTTGACTTTGGGGGCTGAGAAAGAAAAGTGGGAGCAAAATAGTAGTAATCACTATAAGTCCTGGTACTCCTCTTATTCTATTTGGTTTGCATTAAGTGGCAACCCCCGGGCCTCAGTGTCTCCAACTGTCAGCCCTGCTCCTGCGCTTGTTATAAGAAGCAAGGTTTAAGTTCCATGAACTCCTTAAAGAAAAGCTTTAGAGAGATAAATGTGGGGCGTAGGGGGAGGAGGGCTGTTAATTTTAGCCTGGGGTTTTCCAGCTGGCGCACTGTTACCATCTTGAATCACTTCCACGCCCTGAGCTCTCTGCCTGGGAGATCCCTCCTCCTGGGGGCTTCCCCATTCCCTGGTTTGGTCTGAGCTACAATGGTAAGCATTCCAGAAAAAATGCTTAAGAGAAGCCTGGCTGAGTCATTTGATGCACAGATCAGGAAGCGGAAGAAAGCACAGTGATGAGAAACACTGGTCCCAGTAGTGCCTATGATGTGCAGCCTCCAAGAACCGAAGGAGTAGTATGGCCATTGTTTATGTTCTCGGTATGTCACTATGCAGTGACTCTCTGCTCTCTGCAGTTTTCTAAGGACTTCCTAAGGCCCCATATTTTCAGTTTCAACTCTATTGGAGAGAAAAGTTAGGATCTGTTCCCTGTGGCCTCAGGACTCTTTCTGGTTAGTGTAACAATGTGATTTACTTTGGGGTAATTCCTTTAGGACAACTCAGAAGACTAGGATTTCTCCTTTCTCCTCTGTCTCCCATCTGACTTTC